ACCAAGGAAGAGGGAAAAGGGATTTAAGCTTTAGGACATTAACCCAAAAAGAAGATCTGGCCCCAACATCATTGGGGGCATGAATATTAAGTAGGACACAGTCAAAAGTGTTGTATAAGGAACCTGAGAGTAAGATGTACCTCCTATTATAGCAGCAGCCAGAGAGTGTGAAAACTGCAGGATCCCAAATACATAGCAGGCCTCCGGCTGTTCCTTCAGGATCAACAGACATGAACTCCATATTTTTGTTTCCCCATAGCCTTCTAGCATCACCATCTGATATGATTGCCCTTTTGGTTTCTTGAAAAAAAACAATATCAACATTTTTGTCTTTTAGGAGTCTCTTGATTCTACCCTGTTTCTCCACCTTCCCCATACCCCTGATATTCCAAGATATTAACTTCATGATAAAACCATTGATTCACTCACAAGGCCCTAATCTTTCCCTTTACTGCTGGGCCTTCCCATCCTTGGCAATTTTCTCCTTGTCTTTAAGTTCTAGTTCAGCAATTTTGTTGAGCACAATGCCTTCCTTTCCATGGTAGTCTATTCCAAGAGACTTCCCTAATTGAATTGTAGTTGCAGCTTCAGAAAGGATCTGATTTCTCAGAGAAGAGTTACTTGCAAATGAATTAGACTGGGCTAGAGCTTTAGCAGCAGGTCTGTAGATAACAGATTTAGTAAAATGCTTCTTGGCTGCATTGTTTGAGTACGTATGAATCCTAGCAAAGCTAGTGAACCCCTCCATTTTTGACTTCATCTTCCCTTTATTCCTGAGGTTTCGTTGGATCTTTGCTGGAGACTGAGATTGAGTCTTGGACTAACTGTGTATGAGCAGAATTATTTCTCATACACGGGTTTAAGTTGGACAAAGGGCCAGAGAGAAACCCATTTACTGATGCAGGTACATTGGGCCTACTAGAAGAGCCATTGGAGTGAATGGGCCTGCAATTAAGGGGCTGCTTTTCAAAGTGGGCCAAGTCCACTTCTAAGTTGATGTCGGGTCCACTACAAGCACTTACTTCCTTCATACAGCGTACAAACCCAGGTGTATAAACTTGTTCAATACACTTTTGTCTCTCATTATTGCTATTTGAAAAGTGGCCAGCCTTTTCCATCAAATCTATCAGAGGCCTCTCAGCACACGCTCCTCCTTTGTTTACGCCTCCATCACAGGGTGTCTCCTCAACTATTGTATCCATCGGGCACGCAAGCTCAGCACCAAACATGCCCTTAGCAGCTGCCACCTCATCATCTTCTTCCCTTTCCTTACCATCTATCACTGGAAAATTCACCTCCTCAACACTGCAACAGGTTGCAAGAGAAGTGGACTCGTACATGCCATCTGGTTGGGGGTCTTCACACACAAAAATCTTATGATCTTCACTATTGCAGTCCAAAGTTAAAGATGTAGCAATAAATTCCATATTTGAAGTAGCTATCCTGATCCTGGCGTGGGAGAATGATTGTGGTTCACACACATCTCCTTCAATGCTGAGTATCGAGCCCCATAAATGACCAATCTTGGTGAGAGTGTTTTTGTTCCAAACATGTAAGGGTATCCCACTGCATTTGAGCCATACACAGCGTTCTTGGACAAAATGTTTTCCAGATTTGAGCTCTGCCACAAACTGACTCAGATCCTTAAACCAAGCCTTAAGGTTGTCAATGTTTGATGTCAACTCCTCCTGATTGTTAAAAGTTAATATTACATCCCTTCCACCCCCTTTTCGAACCAAAATATGCTCCAGACCTTTCTCCTTCAATGCTTCACGAACACTGTGAATGGAGTGTTCTGTATTAAAGCGGATAATGGCACTTTCATAGAGCTAACTGTTGCCCTCTTCAGTGACTTTGATGGAGGTGTTTGTATTCACCCCTTGCACAACATCAGCAAAGGATCTTTGGCCAGCAAATGGAACATGTCCTCTGGATCTGTTTGCTTCAAAAGATCTCCTGATGAACTGCGGTTTCACAACTTCGGAATTTCGCCTATTATGCTCCTCCCTCTTTCTTCTATCCAGAGTTGCAGCTTTGACTTCTAGAACTTTGTCATCCACCAGAAGACCGTTGGCTTTTTGGATATAGCACTGAAATTAAATCAATCAAAAAATAACATATATCACACAATTTTTCCATAAAAAATTTCATGGCAACATGATGTTATAAGAACTCATTCTAAATTAATTAATACACCCGCGTAAAACCACATCAATAATAGTCATCAACAATTTATTGTGTACATGATTATTTTTGTGCACTGACCTCTAGTTTGTATTAAAAAAACACAATCCAAAAACTAGCAATATATATATATATATTTATGCAGATAGGAAACATATACCAGAAACTTAACTGAAAATATACCCACGTCTTTGAAAACATAAAACTCAAAAATCTATTAAAACAACAGAAGCAGAACATAAGAAAAATAGAAAACGTCAAATTCACCGCTTTCACTCCTATTGTAGCGTTTTTTTTTTATTATTTTTAATTTTTTAATTTTTAATGGTTGTTGCAACTTTGTTCTACAGTCAGGTCAAATAAGAAAACTTTTGACTAGCAAACCAACTCTAATACATTATAGATTAACCTTACAAAACTAATATTCTTGTACATGGGAAAAGCTTTTGTCAAAGGCAAGTCTATAAAGCATAGGCCACATATACATAGGCTTCCTTTGACAATAAGTTATTTTAATAATTTTTTAATTTTTAGGTTAAAATATGAAATTAAAAAAATTAGTATGTTTAGTATGACTTTTTGATTTTTTACGAAATGATGTACAAAAAATAGAGAGAAAAGGAAATCTTTGACTTTTTGATATAGGTTATAGGCTTTTTGGTTTTTTTTTAGTAATTTTTTGACTTTTAAGTTAAAAGTATTGTATGCCAAATGAGGCCTATATGCCGATTAAAAAATAAATAAATAAATAAGGCCTAAATGTATTACACAGATGAACATTGAATTTAAATAAAACCAGTATGTCCTTAAACAACTGACAGATGCAATATAAATAAAAATTGGCAATCTGTATAACAAATTACACACATTAAAATTTGCTAATGAATAAACTTTACCCAAGAAAAATATACCAATTCTACCAAACATTGGATTTAAACATAATAGAATTTTGTTCAAACTTAACTTGGAACTCTGTAAACAAAATCAGAATCCGTTGTCTGTAAAAAATCAGACATAAACGAGGCAAATAGAAATCTATTTAATCACAAACAAACTGATAATATACAGAATAAAACTTCTATATTAAACAGAATTGAAAACACCAAACGAAATCTGTCAAAGAAACAGATTAACCAAATTCTATTTAATGGAAACCAAATTCTGTCTAAAAAAGCATACCTGAAAATATCAAATAAAATTATGTATTAGAAACAGAATACATATAAAACAGAATTCCACTGAAACATAGTTTCGGATAAAAACCATCATCGTTTATGGGTTCTATTATGAGAGGAAAGAGACAATAACAAAACTGGAGTTTTATCGAAAGAAGGAAACAAATCTTGCAGAAAACCAAATTTGCAAAAAATTAATTTAACTAAAAAGAATTATTCTGTATCACTATTGATAGAATTTCTGTCCTAAAATTGTAGGAAAATATTTTCAAAAAATCAATTTAATGCAAGTAAATAATAAAATAAAATACAAGAAATTTCTTACAAAAATTCCATAAAAGTTAGAACAGTTTGTGACTGAGGCCAGTATTTGAACATTGTGTCTTTAAGACAAAAGTTCACCATCGCCTCTAATGCTTGTGATTGATAGGTGTTTTTCCTTGATGATACAACGATTACCACACATAGAAATTGCATAACTTTTTGTGTGTATAGCAAACTAATGTGTTATGCACTCTCTTTTCTATACTTAACTAGACATAATGTATGAATCCTAAAACTCCTTAACAAATGAATGCTAAGGGGATAGTGTTTATAGAATTATTTGTGACCATTCATAAAGGTCATGACTCTAGGGTCACACCCTTTACATGAAAAGATATCATGAAGGGTTGCATCATTTCATTCGAATGGAGTCCATTTCCTTTCATTTCTAAATTTTTCCAACAAAGGCACTAGCCAATTTTCTTGACAAGTAAAAGCCAGCCATGTTAGCATCATCATTCAGTAATTGTTCAAGTTCATCTCTCACCTATAGGTAGAAATACTTGTGAGCACAAATCAAAGGTCTAAAATCACATTCTCAAGTTAAGAATTCTACATTTCTAGTTATAGTTAAATTGACTTATAAGCTCAATTATTATGGAGAATCACAGAATTCAGGACATCAAAGCCTAAAAAGAGACATCATTACTAAGTAACAAAATGAAAATATGACCATGTAAGTGGGGAAAAAAGGATTTTGATGATTAAAAACTTAGAAGCTATGATAGGAAGTAGTAATATAATACCTTTTGAACCCTAGCAGTTAACCTTGTCATCGCACTCTTCATTTTACGAACTCGATCCAAGTTGTGGGTACTAATTGTTGGGATAAAAATGGTTTTATGGTGACTTTCATATGAAATTAAAGTGGGTCTCAACCAGCGGTTGAGGTGGGAACAAGTGGATCTAGATTTTTTATAACAAGATCTTTACACTACAAAAAGAATGACAAAAAGCCATTAATTATTGAATGAGAAATTGTCCCATAAAATTGGCCTCATGAATGAGGTATTGGGAATGATGTATAACCACATATCCCACATTGATTGTAGAGGAAAGTATTGATGGGTATTTAAATCTCAAGTTTTTAATAAGGGCATAGTCCTTTGTGTAACGCCCTCCCCAAAAAATTGACATCTAATATATGTAGATTAACTCATGGGCATAATCTAAATCACATTACTTCTCATTATTACATACAAGAATATTGAATAATATAGACATTTCAATAGCCAACATTCATACTAAATCACCATTTTTCTATTAACGATAACCAACATGAGATTTCACAAAAGAGAGACCACAATCATTAATACATTCATCATCCTTAAGATACAAATTTTATAGCATGTGATAATAACAAGTTAAAGCAACAAAATACAAATTAATGCCTTAATGGCTACAAGTTCCAAGTCTTTGCCCGGTTACAACAAAGTGGTTTTCAAACCCATACATAGATAGCCATTGGCTTGCAAAGAAAGCATAACAAATAAATAAAAAGAGGCTTGTGCTCCAAAAGATCCTCCACGCCTTCACTTTGGCGGAGGCACATCACAATCACCTGAAAATGGTTTCCACTAAGGGATGAGCATAAAGCCCAGCAGAGATAATCTAAATAAAGTGCACGCAATTTAACAATATCATGAGGTGCAATGCATAGGAAATGCCAATGCCAAAAATCATAAGTTTCTCATTTCGAAATTCTCATGCCATGCATTTGTTTAAAAGCATAATCAATTCAATCATCCATTTCATGGAACAAGGGGCGGTAAATACGACACTGGAAAACCCTAGGCTGGTATCTGCAAGTAGGCATAACTAGCACTACCAAAGCCCCACTTTACCAGTTGCTAACCTGAAGGGAAGTGGTACCTTCTTCGCGCGTGTTTTCGGTCTTTCACCCTGGACACTCAGGCCAACTTAAACAATACCAAACTACACCCCTATCTGGATTTACCAAACGTATTTACCCCATAACTCAACATATTTCAAATATTCTCAATGAATCAATTTGAAAATCAATTTCTCAAATCCAATGCAAGAATTAAATTATGAGATTATGCAATGTTTAATACCATGCATGAATTTACAAACATTTCAATTTACCTATGACACATGCAATTTCTACAATAATCAATACAACCCTCCTCGGTTGCCCAAACAATTATCTCTATACAAAATATAAATTTCAAGAGACCAACATAACTCATAATCTCATATTTTCAATCATTTCAACATAGAAGTAATAATCACATATTCAATCTCCTCTTTCCCAACTCAATCAAGAATCATAATATTCTTTAAAAAAAAATCATCAATCTTCCCTTTTTATTCAAACTCAAAAATTCATCAAGAATTTTCATAACACCAAAAATAACATACTTTCTTTCAACCATTCTCAATACTTCAACATGACAAATATTATCATCTTTCTCAAAAGTTCAATATTTTCAAATTTAACAATTTTCAAAAGAAATCTCAATGGTTTTTAATATTCCCAACAACATTTTCATCAATCTCATCCCTACAAACATCCACTTTCAAATTCTCATTTGTTCAAATAAACATATATTTTTAACTCTTGCAAGCTTTTCACAAACTCATCCCAAAAATCTAAATCTTAACATTTAAATTTCTAGGTTTTATTAAAATTTGGGGATTTCTCAAAAATAAAATAAAATAGAATAAAATACATTCATCAACATCCATGAGTCACACAAAAAACAAACACAACTAGCAATGGATTATCAAAAAAAGTTGAGAACTTCTCCCTTTTTATACATTTAATATACCATTAATAAAACCCTAATCTTTTCAAATATCACACTATCAAAATAACACATAATAAAGCTAAAACACATACACAATGTTTAGAAAATCCCTACCTCAAAAGTTAGAAGAGAAAACAAGCAAAAACCCCAATTTTTGACTTTGTTGGATTTTGATCTCCACCGATCAAAATGTTGCTCTCACCAAGCTCTTCACTTTGATCTCAAGAACATGGGTCTAAAACCTAATAGATTTTGGTAGATCAAAGATTTTATGTGGTAGATGTAACCAAAGAAAAAATTCCAGGAAGAGAGAGAGAGAACCAAGAGCCACAAGAGAGACCAAAGAGAGAGAACAAAGAAAAATGGAGAAGTATTTTGCCAAAGAACAAAAGAAAAGGAGAGGAAATGGGGGAGGAGAGAGAGGACCCACAGGTTGCTTTCAATTTTTTATTTTTTATTTTTTTCAATCAATGTACACCCGTATATATATATATATATATATATATAACTAAAGGTATATTTTAGGAACATTATAATATTTTGTAACATAAACAATAAAATGATATAATTATTTTCTCACTACAAAATATATTTCGTTTAATGGTGTACACCATAAATATTTGTAACTCTTATGATAATAAAATAAATATTAATAATAGAAGGTTACAAACGAGTCGTGATTCAATCAATGAGTCCAAAATGACTGCAATTTAATAATTTAGAATAAATCTCCAACTGAGATTAAAGAATAAAATAATTTAAATAGACTCAAGGTGATTCCCACCATTCACATAATTAAATATGAACCAAAATGATTAAGTATGGACTACTCAAATAAGTCCCAAAAATTAAATTTATATCTCATTTAATATTCAAGTCCCTAGAATTGCTATAACTAAAACTAAAAAAAATTTGCCAACTGGGCCTTATGAAGTCGAAATCATGAAGTAATATAATTTATTTTCACCAATTTAAATAGAATGGTCCTTGACACCACAACTATAATAATAACAACTAAACAATCAAGCGATTCGGAAATTCATATCAATCCAACTCCAATCAATACTTGAACCCACAAACATATTTAAAAAAAAAATTACTACACAGATATTGAAAAGAATAATAAATAAATAAATTCAATTTGATTCAACTCGTTACACTTTGGGGCATCTAAATTTTTTGAAGGAAATGAGTTATGAATGTTTCAAGGATGGACTTGGGCCAAGACTATGGTCCAATTTGGTTATTGTCACGACCCAAATCCGTCATTGTAGGTTTAGCATTGTAACCAGCCAGTAATCCTAAGATTATCGAAGACCTCTGAAACAGATTATCAAAATAAGGGGCTAGCGGAAGCAAATATCAAAATACACTGTCCATACAGCTGTGCAGACTTATATAGGACATAAACTTAAAACTTTATATACATATATTATGACGTCATTTGTACATCAGCTAAAAAACAAATAAGTCCAATGGGGACTTAGCCCTACATACAGAAAAACATAAACTTGTCCAAAAGACAAAAGAAAATAAAACCCAGACTATTCACTTGACATAACACCAAATACAAAGACTTCCAGGAACCTCCACATGAGGCTCATTGGTTGGCTTGACAAAAACAGAATCCAGACTGGAAGTCTCAAGCCTGGTCACGCGCTTGATCACATACATATATAATACAAACAATGAGCTGGTGCCTAGTGAATAATAGCAGAGTAAAGGTTTTATGAATGATGTCCATAACAGATTCAAAAATCAAAATTCAGATTAGAAACAGATTCATATACATATTCAGCTTTGTAAGCAGTCATACATGGTATATCCATTAGTGCTAACAGATCAGATTGGTCATAAAAACCCATATACAGAGCAGATGGTCATTAAGACCCTTATTCATATCAGGCAGATGATTGTGCACAATCGTAACAGATAACCATACAGGTTTCACAAATAGTTCCACGAATGGAACCCACAAAAATCCCTAGTACCAAGTAACAGATAACCGATTCACATGATGCTAAGGATGCCATGATACATTTCAGAAATAGGGCAATTATTCATCTATACAGAAAATATCATTTCAGAAAATAGATCTTTTCATATCATTATGATTGAACATATCATTACAAAGTTGTTACTGACAGATAGCTCCAGACGCAGAACAGACGGATCAGACATTGAAACACACATACCGGATACACATTGCAACACACACTCCGTAGCTGCTTAACTTAGTTCATTTTTTTCTTAGTGTGTTTCTAATTCATTTCCTCATTATTATAGCTTAAACCATGGCTTAAGAATGCCTAAGATGGAATGGGGATGCAATTATGCACTTTGAAACATTTAACAAAATTTTAGGAAACAGAAAGTTCGCTCGAGTGAAATTTTGGTCACTCAAACGATTTGCAAAGTCTGCAAAAGTACTGGATGCTGAAAATCTAGGCTCGAGCCAACTTTTGTTCGCCCGAACCATGTTCCTTGAAAAGGTGAGGTTGCTCGAACCAACTGCCTCGACTGCAAAAGTACTGGGAGCATAAAAAGTGCGTTCAAGCGAAAGAGCCATCGCTCGAGTGATGAAGCAGAATTCTGGAATTTCCAGAATGTTGTTCTATGTTCAAAACTCAAGTTAAAGAATCAAAACTCATCCTTTTGGGCCAAAACTTTAGAAAACACTTACTAATTTGTGTAAAAACATAAAATGAAGTTCAATTATCAAAATCAAAACCCAAAAATAAGTCAATTCTTTAAAATCAAACTTTGAACTTAATGTGTAGCAAATGCATGGATTTTTTTGAGCTCAAACTCTTTCAATCATGCACAATTAGGATGAAATGGTATAAAACATGATGAATTTTCCAAACAAAACTAGAATCGTTCCGTGCATGTGAGAATCCTTGGAAAACAACTTCAAAATGCAAAGGGATATGCATGCATGTATGGATTGTTTCCCAGTTCTTCATGCAAAGCTTAATTCTCATGCTTAACCTCTAATTCCTCTTGAATTCCTACATTTGATGTTTCAAAGACAAGGCTAAGGGTTGAACTTTTTACCTAAACTCCTCAATTTCTTGAATCTAGCTCAATTATACACAATTCCTAACTTTCTCCTCTTTATCCTTCAATCTCTTTGTTAATTAGTCAAGTTGAACCCCCTTCTCTCACTCTAGCTTGCTTCTCCCTCTCTCTAGAACACTCTAGCTCAAGAATGATGAGTGTAAACGAATGCTAGAGCTCAAAGTAGCCTTATATAGGCTTTGATTAGTGTTGACTAATTAATCTAGCTTAAACCAAGCAATTATAATTAATTTATTCTAATTAATTGATTCTGAATCGAATCCTAATTAGACTACCCATAAAATTCTAAAAAACCTGAATAACACATTGACGTAGCCAATTTCGTGTTCAGATGTTGATAAGGCCTTCAATTAACAGAAGAAAGTAGAATTCTAAATAGATATTCTTACAGCTAACAAATAGGAATTCAAATAACATGAAAATAACACAATTAACACATAATTCCGCTTAACCATTTAATTAGCATTCTTAATTATGGATTAGTAGCTAATTACGGAGTGGGGATGTTATAATTATGCAAAAAATGCCACACACGTACGCGCTCTACCCGCCCGAACTGGGCCAAGTCCGGGGTCCATAGATCTTGGGACTTGGGCTTAAGCTTGAGCTTGAGGCTTGATAGAATGGGTTAGGTTTGGGTTGGGTCAGGTTGGTGGCCCACCAACCTATCTTTTTGGGCTAGGTTAGATTGGTGGCTGCTGATATAGATATACCCACGTGTATATAGAGTGTGTAACTCATAGACTCACTCCATCAACTTTTGCAGGATTTATTCCTGCATTAGTTGGGCAGTTTTACATAAATGAATTCTACATTGTTGAAAGATTTATTTCTGCATTGGTTGGGTAGTTTTGCAGATCTGAATTTTACATTTTTTACTGGAAGGCTCCTTCTCTCTCCCCCTTTGTGTATAAAAAGAGACCATTCTCTTTGGTTTGAACACATAATTTTTTGCTCTCAAGTTATATAGTTAGTCTGCTCATATTATATTCTTCTTGTGTAAGAGAGTGCTATCATTGTTCGTTTGCCGGAGTTATATAGAAAGTGCTTTTGACTTAGTTGGTTCTAATCGTCATATCCTGGGAGACAGATGTCGACATACCCCAAGCACCCACGGTGAGGCGGCAAATCTGTTTTAAGGTGATTGTGTATCACATAGGTTTCAATTTGCTTCCTATTACATTTTTATTTCAGTATCTATCTATTATATATTTCTGTTCATCAAATTATAATCTCTAGCATAATTAGTTCTATCAATTTTTGTTCTATAATCTGAATTTAATCATATATGAATCTGTTTATTATTTTAATTTAATTATACATCTTGTACAATAATCTTAAAACAGACACTATATTTGTCATGGAATTAGAAAAATAGATTAATTTGACATAATAGATTAATTTGACATAATAGATTAATTTTCCCTACTAGTAGATTACACTGTTTCGGCTTCTACTAAAAAAAATAATAAATAAATAAAAAACTAACTGTTTCAACCACATGAATCGCATGATGATAAATCATGCTGCTAAGTATTAATAATTTGAATTTATTTTATGAGTACATAACACACTGTGCTTGTTTTTAGTCTAGTTTTATAACATCATGTGCAAGTTTGATGGATTTCTAGTTTCCTACCATGATATGCATGTTTATTTATTTTATAATTTTATGGGTAAATTACACTTTGCACTCTTCCACTTTGTACCGAGTCTCACTTTGGCCTCTACACATGAAATCATGACAGTCAACCCCCTATACTTTTACTCAAATCTCATTTTGGTCTCTACACAAGTGTCAATGTCCCTCTTCTATTACTTCATTTTTAAATCTTTAACAAAATCTAGTAATGTGCCAAAAAATGTGACTACGAAATGAGGGTAGGAGAGAAAAATTATCCATGTTTCCCACCTATATACTTTGTCCTACGTGATAAGCACATGAGAGTTATATAACACAATGTATATATATATATATATATATATTCGTATGGTAAAAATTGGAACGAAATGTAAGAAAGTAGAGTTTTTGAAATATAAGAAAAAAATATGACAAAGAAATCAAAGAGAAGTAATGATGAATAGACAAAAGATTGTGTTACCATAAAAAATAAAATTTCGTGGTTCCAATTTATGAAAAATCTTAGTTTATCTTCTTAATTAGTCACAATCTGCATTTTGTTTTAGCTTAATATAGTCATATTTTGATGTAAATTTTGGTATAAAGTGTGTATTGGTGGAAAATTTAAATGATTTTCCTTTTTTACCCTCATG